AAAACTCTGCATTTGAACAGTCAATAGCAAATACTTCAACTAATAACAAAACAGTAGCTGATTCAGAAGCATCAGATTGTCATAGCAAAGTCAGAATTGCCTCCTCTCCTAGGTTCACGAAACGATCGTCCATAAAATGCATTGCTGTTCTGTTGTAAGTAATCTTAAAGATTCCTAAATGCATCTACTTTCGGAAGGCCAAATAAAGTGCTTTTGCTTTCGCCTAGAAACACACAGCGTCTCCCTGACATGCTGCTTCAACACTAACTGCTGTTACTGAAACCACGCCTTCTTTCTCTGCGTGCACATTTGGGCGGCATTATGCTAATATTTCCACATAGTGAGGTAGATATGTGGGGGCGTGTTAGAACGAGCCGTTTTAGGGGGGTGTGGCAGAGTCTTAACTTTGATAAAGAATATCTCTTTGGTTTTGAGACTTTAGTCTTTGCAACTTCAGGGATCTTATCTATGCACAATCAGCTTGTAACACCCCAAAGAGAAAGGAAAACTTGAAATCGCATCATATGACCCCTTTAAATATGTTTAAAAAAATGTGAAAACTACTGGTTCTTGAATTCTGATTATAACCTTCATACACCACACACCGACTGCAAATAGTGACTGAGCGCAACTGGAACAGACCCGGTCCGACTGGGCACAATCAGTCGTCAAGACCAAATTACTTTCATAATTGGTATGACAGCCGTTTAGTGTGTTCTTGGCTTAACACTGCATCTACATCGGACCCAATCGCAAATCAATTTCTCTTTCATGTCAAAAAGCAACGCGAGTGCTTAGAGTACGTCAGAAATAGAGGGACATCAGTTTACTGTCAGAGATTTGTTGTGTTGTTCTGTGCCGTTAGAAGTAAAATAGCCTTTTACTTCTGAATTATGATGTTTTTGATGTAAAAATCTTGCTAATATAAGAGCACTATAAAATAATAAAAAAATGCAGTTCAAAAAGAAGTGCATGTGAAAAATAATGAAGATAAAAAATGAAGAGAGATCAATGAAGGGCAGCTGGATTGAGAATATGTGCAAATGTAAAAAACACAATCTAAACGCACCTTTATTAGCTACATCTGTACACGACGTCTCAGACAGACGAATTCCAGATTTTGCCACAGCATATATTCTGCTCTCCTGCAGATAAGATGAAATCACAAGTTTACCACATAAACCAAAACGACAGAAATTCATATTAGCTGGACTATTTGTGGCACGACTCACCCAAGAAGGCAGTCTGTGCAGTGGAGGGGTCGGAGGTTTACTCCCGGGCACGGCTGCAGATGAGTCGAGTGTTTCGTGTTCCTCAGGTGGCACTTCTGCTGGGGGCACATCAGGCACACATTCTCTTTCACCAGTCTCCATCTTTTGCTCTTGGTCCATGTCTGTTTCCTGAGGCCGTAGAGGACGTAGCATGCTGAAGGCGTTTCGTGTCCGCCCATGGGCGGCTTCACTGTACAGCGGAGGCTGACTCAGATGCTTTTTAGCCAATGCCAAACTAACAGTAAACGCATTTGGATTACGCAGTCTGGGCTGTTTGGGGGAGGCTGGGGTGTCTTGGGAGTCTCGTGATGGAGTGGGCCGCTTTGGTGTGAGAGCTGGAGTTAATATGGGGCTGGGAGTGTTTGTGTCACTGGAGGACGATGAGGAATCAAGACATTGCGATTGGAAGCGCTTATTCAGCTCATCTGAGGATCCATCCTCAGCGTCCACCTTCTCGCTGTCTCTCTTTGAAGCACTCTTGGTGCCAGGAAGGCAAAGTCTGGAGTACTCCACGCGCTGCATGTCATCGTCAAACAGCGAGCTGCTGTCGTCTGAGGCTGTGTGGTACGTCTCACTGGTGGGTCGGCTGAAACGCAAACCTCCAAACAGACTTCTCTCTCCTTCAGAGGCAGAGTTGGAGAGGATAGAGGAGACACCACAGAACAGTGTGATCGCCTCGTCCTCTGATCCCACCTTAGAGCATCGGCCAACACACTCTGTTTCTGGGCAATCTTGTTTCATTCCAGAATCTGGATCAGATCAAACACACAGACTTGGTGAATATATGAATACATATAGTAAGCACTTGATATATTAAAAGCATTAAAACTTCTTTGAGTTAAAGTCAAAGCTGAGTTAAAGTTTTGCAAATCACTGTCAAGTCATCCATTTCAATGAATCAGGCAAATTACTCATTTGAGTGGTTCATTTAGTGAGTCAAAATGCAATGAATTTTCGACAATGAATGCAGAATGATTCTTGAACAAATGAGTCAGTTCTTCTGAATCAAAAACATGAATCACACTGTTACTGTGTTATGCTGTCATTCTGCATCACTGGGGGCAGTCGTGGCCTAATGGTTAGAGTCGGACTTGTAACCCAAAGGTTGTGGGGATTGAGTCTGGCAGGGATTGTAGGTGGGGAGAGTAAATGTACAGCGCTCTCTCCACCCGCAATACCATGACTGAGGTGAGACCCTTGAGCACTGAACCCCCAACTGCTCCCGGGCACCGCAGCTGTGTGTGTGTGTGTGTGCGTGCGTGCGTGTGTATGTATGTTCACTATTCACTGCTGTGTGTGTGCACTTGGATGGGTTAAATGCAGAGCACAAATTCCAAGTATGTTTTAAATGTAATTTATTCCTGTGATGCAAAGCTGGGTCACATGATCCTTCAGAAATCATTCTAACATGCTGATTTTCTGTGCAAGAAACATTTATTCTTATTATTGGTGTTGAAAAGTTGTGCTGTTTAATATTTTCGTGGAAACCATGATAAAATGCATTTATTTAAAATCTATTTTTTTTGCAACAATGTAAAAGGTTTTATTGTCACTTTTGATCAATTTAATGTGTCTTTGCTGAATAATAATTTTAATTTCATAATTTCTTCCCAGCCTTGTTGCATCTCAGTCAAACTCAACAGATTATGAACTAATACTTTAAGTCAAACATCTACAGATATCATATCAGTCTTCTGACCAGCAGAGGGTCTCCTGCAGTCTGTGTGTGTGGGCTCACGATCCGGCAGGGTGCTGACACTCTTCTGGGCCGGCTCTGGGCCCGTCAGGACCTGAGGGCTCTTCCCTCTAATTTGGAAACAGCCAAAAGTCAGACTGCTGAGCCGCTGGGCCTCACCCACACTGGGCTGCACTGGGCCACCAGGACCCAAAGTCAGCTCCATGGCTAAAACAAAACACAAAAACATGACACTTAATAGCTCTTTTCCATCAATGGAAAAATTTCTCGATTTAGTCTTCATTGTCATTGATAAAAACAAAAAACAGATTTTCATCAGTAATTTCTTTGACAAGCTTAACACTCAACATGCTACAGAAATAGCAGGAATAAATTGGTTGGATGCTTTTTTGAAGACACAGTAGCCAGAGCTTAACCTACTGTGTGATCAGACGCAAGAATACCTTGCAGTCGTCTTCTCAGGTCTTGTATCTCAGCCTCCTGTTGTTGGTTGATCTCTCTCAGAGAGGCATTCTCTATATCAAACTACAAGAGTGATTGGTGAACACAAACATTTACACACTTTCTGCCCCACCTATTTATCTCCTCTCACCTATTCAAGAACAAACACACACACACACGCACGTGTACAAAAAGCATGAACGTACTTCATTCAGCTTCCGCATGACCCATTCTTTGATCTTAGCTGCTTTTTCTTCAACTGTCTTGGCATCTTGGATTCGGTTCTGTTTCTGGAGGTGTAATTTAATGGATTTAAATAGGCCTCTATGTCTACTGATGCAAACCTGATGATATTAGAGACTGGAGTTGGGACTGACCTGTTCCTCCAGCTGTTGCTCTAGGGTGGCAATAAGCTCGTCTTTCTCCTGCAGTACCGTTTGAAGATTTTGACAGCGCCTGAACAGCTGCAGCTCTGAATCACTTGACTGGATATCTGATGCCTTTAGACGCTCTTCCATCCATTGCACCTGAAACACACACATGGACATACACACAGTGTTAGTAATGGTTACATTATTATATCAAAAATACAATATACAGGCACTGGACAAAATAATGTGAACACCTGATTATGACTCTGTACACAAAGAATGGCAAGACTTCATCAGCGAAGAAGAGAAATGGGTGAAATCTGAAAAGGGTATATAATAATAGGGACATTGATCACTGATTGTGATCAGTGTCCAAACCACATAGAACTACTGCAGCAAAGTGACAGCAAACCTTAATAATATTCACCTTGAAGACCCTTCAGTTTCCACAAAAAAACTGACCACAGAGAGTATCACAAAACCAACATCCATGAAAGAGCTGCAACTGCTAAAACTTTAACCCCAAACACTAATGCTAAAAAAAGATGGTATCATGATCATTAAACCTGGACAGTTGGAGCACCAAGATAAACTTCAAGATCTGCCCTGGCCAGACAAATCACCTGACTTGAATATTATCAAACTACTGTAGGCAGCTTTGGAGAGAAGATTGAGAAGCAGATTCCCTCCTTCAACATCTCTAGATGGCAGATGTTCTGATAGACGACATTCAGCTGGAACTATTCAAAAGATGCAGGCCATGAATCTATTCTAAGAAGGTTGTAAGCTGTATTAAAGCAAATGGTGGTAAACAAGCTTAAATGTGCAGTATGTAATATTGACAGCTATAGCGGTTGAAATGGGTATTGCAGAATATAATACAGAGAGTTGTATGTTTCTTCTGCCCCCTCCTCCTCAGCCTTGACGCTCACGTGGGTTGCCAGATTGAGGACACACAATTTACAATGGAAGGTGGCAAGCTTTATACACTGTAAGTTGATGAGCTGATTTATCCGTGTTTTAATATTCCTCTGGTCATAGAGATTTTTAGATGGATGCAGAGGCTTTTTAGTTCAAGTAGAATCTAAGATCTCGTTGCGATACACTGTGTTTTCCACCAATTGGCTACCCGGGGTGTCGAAATACTAGTGGGCGGAATCACACGGACCAAAACAACAACAGACATACTGACACGGAAAGCACATTTCAAAGCAGAATAACTGGCTGTAGCATTATTTTTTCAGAGAAACAAGTATGTGAACAAGGATGTTACCTAAATATCTGCAAACATGCTTTAGTACAGCCAAAAAATTTACATACAGCACCTTTAATAGGTGTAATAAGGAATATTGCCTATTTCCAAGGTGTCCAACCCCTGTGAATGATTAATATAAATCGTTATAATATAGTTTTGTTGGAAATATCCTTTAAATGTAGTCAATATTTTGTGTCACCTGACCATTTTACTCCCTATAAAATGACATATAATAATTTTTGAGGCATTTTAGTTGATGATAATATGCAAAATAATGAAAACTTTGACAAAATGGTTTTATAATGGGTTTATATACTTATATATATATATATATATAATATTTTCATATACATTTGTGACATTATTTCATTATTATGAATTGTACCAAAATAATCAAATCATTCAGTAAGTCATTCAAGTAAAGAATACAATTTTAAATGAATTATTGTCAGTGCAAATACTTAACATCCCTAAAATCGGATGAAATGTCCAGAACAGAGTTATTGGTATTTACCTGCTGGTTGGCCTCATATGCCCGACGCTCGGCTTCCAACACCTGCATCTCCAACTGCTGCATCTGAGAGAGCAAGAAACACTGCATAAATGAATGGCCAAAATGCTTGTGCATGAATATGTATAAACATGAGCATTTTTATTATGAAAGTCTACTTTAAAATTTTCCTTATGCATAACATTCATCAGTGATGAATGACTGGGAAGAATAAGCTTTGTAAACAAATATCCTTCTGTGCTGGGATTTTATCTTTTTAAAACATGTATTCTTCTCATAGCATAGTACTGGCAGGAATGCAGCAAATTAATTTGCAAATCATTTTTACCATAGTGGGAATGCCATGCTATATTACCATTGCATTCCTTCAAGTCTTTTATTTTATGTTTTTTGGATGAAAAATGTATCTATAAAGTTAAGGAAACTCAAAAACTATTGCCTAAGCAAAAACATTTCCAAAAAAAAAAAAACTGAAGCTGTGTTGTATTGGTTACATTTTTGGACTGTATTGTATGCGCTGTCACAATTATAGTTGTGCATGAAAAAAAATAAAATGAAGTGGTAAACCAGAGGTAATGATTCAGTTCCCGGTCATTTTGATGACTGTTTTCTGTCATCGCATTCAGTGAAATCTAAGGGAATTTTGACCACTCTATTTCCAATCCTCATACTTTCTAGTAAATTTCTAATATAAATTCCCTAAGCCACTTGCCAGTCTCATAAAAATAAGCACTCCACACATTCTGTGGCTTAGTTGTGGTCATCAGATTGGAGTTTGCTGAATGGATCTTGGAGTTTGAATGCAGACCACTGTTGAAAATTGCATTGTGCATTTTTATTTAATTTAATACACAATTTCTTCATTACAAACTAAATTATCAACATAATGTGAATGAAACGTTTTTGGGGAATTTATGAATTGTCAGCAGCACTTGAGCTGAACAAATCCTGAAGATCATGTTCTCCAGCATGATTTGATAGTGATCCAAAGTCTTTTAAGTGACGCACAACATGATCAATGCACTTTATTAATATGCAGAAATACTCAAATACTACCATAGCATATACATACTTTACAAATTATTTAATATATCATTATTTTTCACATTACAGTACAGAGAATTACATTTTCATTGCATTGTGTTAATTAAAAATTAGCGGGTGCTTCCCATAACACTGAACATTTTGGGGTTAAATTCGCTTGGTGTTATGCGCTTGTTTCTGCTTTGGCAGGAACTCCATTAGCAAGCTGTTTCTCTTCATACAGTTCCCAAAGGAGAACAGACAAATATGACCTAACACACTGCTAATAGTTACCGCCACACTCATATTTTCCACTGAACACCATACAAAAGTGTTTTTATGCATCTGTGTGTATATATATGTGACCCAACGATATTCTGATCTTTCTAACAGCCTCTCCTCTTTACAAGCCTCCGTCATTAAAGATGTTTAATAAGTCCCAACGCACAAAGCACTATTGACAAAACTATCCTAATGATGACTTTTTGGAACAGTCCAGTCCATGTATTCATGTTCTGCTCTAGTTCTTAAGTTAAAGCACATTTTGTTGGATTTGTTAATGGTGCATTAGTGAGAGCTTGATGAATGACGTAAATATCTGATTCGCAGATGGAAGTTAAAAAGATTCACAGACTCTGGTTAGTTTTCCATGATAGAAGTCTATTGATATTCATGGTTTAGTGAGCCAATGCCGATCGGACTAAACCAAAGGGTGTTTCCCCAAAACACACTGATGGTCAGAAATACATCACACACTCTACACACACTCATTATCTCTGTCGTCCACACACACAGCCACTATCCCGCAGACTATTCACTATACACATAAGCTTAATGTGGAACTAACTACAGATACCTTTATACCACAACAACCACACACACACACACTGTACACACGGGTACACACCCAACCTCATCTGTGGTCAAGCTGGTCCACCACTGCCCAATGGTGCAGATATAGAAAATAAAAAATAGCAGCGTAATTACAGACTGTTCTGAGAACAGCTGCACAGACCAAGTCAGACTCTGAGCGGTTCAGTCACAAGTTAGGGACACATACCTGTATTAACGTGCTGTTTTATGTATTTTTGATCAAATAAATGTAGCTTTGGTGAGCATAAGAGACTTCATTCAAAAACATTAAAATGGACAATCTCATGTTAATCTTGAGTACCAATAGAGTAGTATTGCATCCTTCATAAAAAATAGTCTTTAGCTTTATCAGATCTTACAAAATAAAGATTCAGCTTTATGATTCTCTCTGAAAACAGTCGAGCTCCTGGAGGTGTGCCGTGTGCAGAACTAAAGAGTCACAAGCATGCAAAGCTATTAGGTGTGTTCGGCTTGAAGCGCTGCTGCACATATCGAACAGTGTATGACACATTAAGAATTTGTTCTCACAACTTATTAATAAGTTCCCTTGTTTTAGATAAATCGTAGCCACATTATACTAAATTGTTCCCTCATTTTAAATTAGTAAAATATTAAAACATGGCCAGGAATTAATAGGCCTTGAGAACAAATTCTTCATTTGTGACCACAATATCTAGTTTTTCTTACACTTGTCATGTGCAGGGCTCCATACAAAAGTGCATTACTAGTTTGACCAGGAGATGGTGCTCTAGGAGGACACTGGAGTTATTCGAAGCAACAAAGTAACCAACATAATTCATTTTTTTAAAGATAAATGGCAATTTCCCGTGACACAAGCAATAGAGACTGCTGATGATGCAACAAAGCTGAATCAAGCTCAACTTTATGCAAATGAGTGGTGACGTGAAGTGTGACTGCTAATGGGAATGTTATACCAAATCAAACCAAACATTCATGGATGCTTCCATCAATTTGCACCATAAGCTCTATATTTCCATCAACAACTCTTTGAATCTTCTACAATCCCCCTCACTTCTCCGCTCCATATGGTCCTGGCTACAGTCAGTCTTCCATTCCATGCATTCCATCCTCGGCCTTCTGTGGCCGGCCCGCCCTGCACCCCTCATCCAGCCTCCCTCCACAGGCCAGCTCACAAAGCCTGTCTGTGTGACAACCTTCACTGCACCACGGCTCCAAATTCCCCAGCGTCACCGACCTCTGCTCCACACTTCACTGTCCTACAGCAGCACTAGGGCTGTGCGATATTGAAGAAAAATGCGATATGCGATACCTTGTTAAAAAATGCGATATGATATTGCTTAAAGTGTTTTAAAATATTATAAATGAAAATTATACAACCAATTTGTTTCACATTCTTTCTTGGAAAATAAAGAATCACTATAACTTCCGAAAGTGGCCAGCAGTGTTTTAGCATTACATAAAAAGTAATGTCACAAATCAGAAAATGTAATTTAACATCAATGTGAACATACAAACAAAAAAATGAATGACACTAATTTTATGTCATTGTAACTGCTTTCCACACACTTTAAGTACTTCTTCATATATCACCGCAAAAACTATAGTCTGAGAAAGTTCAAACATGATTAAAGGAAAAAGTGAACAGTCAGTAAAAAAAAAAGAAATATACAATTTACAAGCATAGATAAAATAAACAGTAGTTTTCAGGTACAGAAATTTAATAATTAAGTGTAAAATAACACTGCATAGTGTTCACTGTATGAATTAAATTTAGATTCATCTTTGTTAAAGCCGTTTTGTTGTTTTGTTAAAGTCTGCATGAAATCAAAATTGACTTTATTTACTTTACTAGCGCACATTGTTAGTGATGATGTGAACAATTAATCCGTGCAAGTTAATCCGCTGAAAAAAATAGTTTGTCTTTGTAATCTTTAATCAAAATCTCAACATTTACTTCCGCTCTGGAATGGCATTCCTTTTCTGATGACGTCAGTTTGACGGCTTGGGCAGAATATCCTTAAACACACCCCTCCAACCGTTAGGTTGCTATGAGTGAGAGACAGAGAGGAGGAGCGCAAACATAAAACCATGCCCTCTATTCAATATTCCGTTTCAGCTGGAAACACGTCACTACACTGAAAGTTGGCAGCAACTTCCGGTTCACGCGAACTTGAACATTAGTGACATATTCAGCAGCAGGTATTTATAGGCTGCTGTCCCTTTAAAACCGACTGCACGGATTCAGTATAATGATACACATCCGATTTCTTTCTCAGCTGTTTACATTCATTTAAAACATAACCGATTCCGTTTACGAGAATGATCGTCGAGACGGGTACTATTGACATAATTCTGTGTGTATGTGTCTGTTCAAACATAAGGAGGAGATGCGAAAGATGAATCAACTCTGTCTGAAACGCATCTCTCTGTGTGCGCGCGCTTTGCACGCGTGCGGCAGAACTAAATAGGCGCTGTGCGAGATGCGGCTTGAGCGCGTGCTTCAGGTGTGAGTCAGACAGCAAGACGAGACGGCAAAGAGTTGTTTTCTGCAACTTACTGCACTTAATAACTCTTTTTAACATCAAGCAATTATCTGCTATATGTTTTTCTTACACTTGTCATGTGCAGGGCTCCATACAAAAGTGCATTACTAGTTTGACCAGGAGATGGTGCTCTAGGAGGACACTGGAGTTATTCGAAGCAACAAAGCAACCAACATAATTCATTTTTTTAAAGATAAATGGCAATTTCCCGTGACACAAGCAATAGAGACTGCTGATGATGCAACAAAGCTGAATCAAGCTCAACTTTATGCAAATGAGTGGTGACGTGAAGTGTGACTGCTAATGGGAATGTTATACCAAATCAAACCAAACATTCATGGATGCTTCCATCAATTTGCACCATAAGCTCTATATTTCCATCAACAACTCTTTGAATCTTCTACAATCCCCCTCACTTCTCCGCTCCATATGGTCCTGGCTACAGTCAGTCTTCCATTCCATGCATTCCATCCTCGGCCTTCTGTGGCCGGCCCGCCCTGCACCCCTCATCCAGCCTCCCTCCACAGGCCAGCTCACAAAGCCTGTCTGTGTGACAACCTTCACTGCACCACGGCTCCAAATTCCCCAGCGTCACCGACCTCTGCTCCACACTTCACTGTCCTACAGCAGCACTAGGGCTGTGCG